CTTCTATGGTTTCAAACAGTTGCTACGCATGTAAAGAACCGGCTAGAATATGGGCATGGCTCTACAATTGAGTACAAAACAGTTTGATCATATTGAGCCTCCACTCAGCTGTGGGGTAGTGTATAATAGTTGAGCCCATTCCGATTTACATCCGTGAAAACTCTCGGGGTCAACCACACGGACGATCGCCTGCGGACCGCACAGAGTCAGCAAGCCGGTAGGTCTCTTTCACCTGCGCGCAGCCGTGTAAACCAGGGATAGCACCACATCTGAAAATCATTGGGTTGGCATTTCATGAAACATTTACAAGGGACCATGGTCCCAGTAATTGCATAATGTATATATGTATATACATATCTACACATCTCTACACACCCGCACAGTTGCTGGAGGTTTGCAACTGATGCCTTGCAGCAGCTGCACACTTCTAGGGATGGGCGTGCGTTCTCTTGTTATTATTGCTTGCTCTCTTGCCCAATGATATGCCAGGGGCTAACAGGCGGAACTGCATGCCAGGGTTCATAAAGAAACCGTTGCCTGCATTCACAAAATTCACAAAATCCTTGAACATCACACTGAGCCAGCAACTCTAAATTTCTCTCTCTCTCTCTCTCTCTCGCTCGCTCTCTGAAAAATTATCCTGGCCATCTGCGGCTTTCCTGTTTTTCAATAAAATCAGAGTGCCTCCTGGAACAACAAGTACACCAGTGCTGATTGGTGGCTTGAAAGTATCGCAAAGTTGGATATAATAATTTATATGCGTATATGTAATTATATGTATAACATAATTACATATACAATCATATACATAGTTACATAATTGTTCAACTGCGATCGTAATCCCAAATGTAAATGACAATGTGGCGGCAAAATGAATGAAAACACCCACCAGAGGAATGAAGTATACCCTCCAGCAAACATGGCAATGGACAATCCCCCATTTATTGATGATTCTCCCATTCCAGCGCCTGGTGACCTTCATTTGACTCCTGCACCTCCGGAAGCCTCGGTGGTTACAGGAAGTTACCAGCGTCACTGGCGCATGGGCAGACCTACAAATGTCTGGTCATTCGTAGCATCAAACATGTAAGATATTTAAGGCACTCTTTCAAGCCATCTATGTTTGATATATAGCGATTTTTACCCATACTGTGCTCTTCCACTCAGTCACCCGTAGATTCGCTATTCAATGTTGAGTTCCGAAGCTTCCGTTTTTGTTCTCGTTATTTGTTTACAAAGACGGGAGAAATCCAGGATATGATACAATGATGGGGCTACAAGTAGCGACGATGGGCTTTAGGATCCCGTAGGATCCCCTACATGCGGCCGGGTACTGGAACCAACCGCAAGGCCGCAAGGGGCGCCAAAACGGACGGATGTTGGATGATGTTGGCCGATTTCTGTTGCTTTTACACACCTTAAAGGACTTTCAAAAATTCCGACTGGATCAACTACGGTCAACTGGTTTCTATGACAAGATTGAGGCCAAAAGTGAGAAAGAGGGAACGTTCAAGATGTCTATGTCCGACAATTTTTGAAGACAAACTAAGAGTTCCGCTTGCATACAAACATATACAAACGTCATGCGGCTTTGCTGCGGGATGGTATTTGATGGTATTTGGAATTCCTGCGGTGATTCTGAAGATTTGTTCTCGAAAAATAATGGGCCTTCAAAGAAAACCTATGTACACTGAATTCTTTGAGCCGCATCGGTGCGACCGGAGGCTTTGCTGGAGGTTGATGACACAGAACGGTTCAAGGAAAAATTCAGGGGGTAGAGCGTGACAGAAGGATGAGATGCACAAAGTTCGATGGATGCCAAATTGGAATTTCTCCTCAATCTTCATTTGATTTGGCATTGTTTTATCTAGTCATTCTCCATCCATTTGGTACTTGTCTTCCTGCATAGAGGGGCGGCTCCGGTCCAGTGCCAAGTCAGGTATCGCCACCAGTGCAGTTCGCGCCTCAAGTTGCCTGAAGCTGCGTCTCTTTCGGATGGTTACGGTGATTCTGATGATCTTTTTTGTGGGACTCTCGGACGGCTCGTGCAGTAGAACATAGTAGAACTACTGAGCATAATTGGATGATATTGAATGGATTGGGTGCTTATGTTGAACCAGGATTGAGATGGTTACCTGGCGTTCACTCCTGGTATCTCGTGGATAAAAATCCAATGGAAAAGGCTGGGAATCGCTGATGATTGGGAGGCATCCCAGAGCTGGACCCTGACATTTTCTTCCATGTGCAGAGACACGTGCATATTGAATATGATCATACTTATTGAATAACATGTGTAACAATCTGTGTACTGTAACTATATGTAAAAAAATATGCAAAATAATATGTTTAATAATATGTATAATAATATGCATAATAATATGTATAATAATGTATTAATGTGCGCGTATGTCTGCCAGTGTGTTGTGTGTGTGTGTGCGTGTCCACATGTTTTCTTTTGTATGAAAGATTTCAACACACTTCCCCTGCTCCGGCGGACTCCGTCCTCGCAGCTGTGAAGTTCATCCTGCGGTCATTGGGTGGGCTTCCATAGTCATGGAATGTCATGGAGTACCCCAACAGCTTGATGGTTTACAATGGAAAATCATGGAAAATCCCATGAAATCCTGTGAAAATCCTATGGAAATCCTATGGAAATTGGATGATTTAGGGCTACCCCCATGGAAACCCCCATGATTTTGGTGGCTTCGTTTGACTCTTTCGACTACAGCAACACCAAATGGCATAGCCATGGGCATGCGGCATGTTGATGTGTCTTCAAATGGTTGTTTAATGGCAAAATATGTATAATGGCAAAATCATGCTATATATAATATGTTTCATGATTTTCATGGATACTATGGCAACATGTTTACATCAAAAAACATATTGGTTGATATTAATTATAAATCATGACAATATGTTTACGATTGTTAATTGTATTTTTTCCACTATGGTAATATAACAACTATTATTATAAATATTACAATGTAATATGATTTAATATGTTTATGATGTTTATGATGTTGTTTAATGTTTGACAAACGAGTTCTGAGAAACCTTTCTCCACGGATCCAGATGAGTTCCGAGTTCCTCAAAGGCCAAATCCCAGCGATCCAGGCAGCGCACTTCCTGCCAAATTTATGGCTTCAACAGTGGAGAATCCCCGTTCCCGTAATATTAAAAAAAAAAAAACACCCCCTGGCCCCAAATGGTCCCTTAAATATGTGTAAGTCCGTACTAAACGGTTTCTAGGGAGTGTTGAATATTAGGGGGATGGGATTTTACATATGTAGGCTCAAAATGATTTTACATATGTTAAAGTCTCAGCTGGGAAGTATGGCCAGGATACACTCCCTTCCGCTAACAAGGCCGCAAAAAAATGGAGAAAATGTACCGGCGTCTATGTTAGTGGGTTCTGTTACTTTTTTCAGCTTCAGTGGTTTGAACGTCCACGTTAGCATCGGGCATCCGAAAAATGCGTGCCTACAGGGTAGAAACCGGTAGAATCCGGTAGAATATCTTCGATCTATATACGCTGTAATTAATTATTGAATCCGCCCACACCGCTTTGGCGGTGAAGGCGTGCTTATTGGGGGGCAACAGCAACACTAAATGCTCAATGACATTTGTTAATATAGCAGTCGCTATATCAGCTTTAGCTGGGGGGGGGGCCAAAAACGGTTTCGCACCGAGACCAGACCCCAAAAACGGTTTCGCACCGAGACCAGAATACGGTGGTGTTTTCGACATTTTTCGAGGATTTTTGGGTGTCTGAGTGCAAGAGGGTATTGAAATGGAATTTTGGGTCATTTTGGTAGCTTTCCGGCAATGGAAAAACGGCCAAAAATGAAAAAAACATTGTACATAGCAAGATTTTGCAGGGTTTTTGGATGCCAGAGCATTGAAAACACTGCAAAAACAAGTGTTTTGGACTGACGTTATAGCAAAAAACGTGTAAATTACCGTATGCTTAACTGGAAACATTACAAAAACACTGTCAAAAGCAATGTTTTGGAAGGATTTACTGCCTTTATGGCAAAAAACGTGTAAATTACCGTCTGTTTGACTGGAAACATTGGAAAAACACTGTCAAAAACAATGTTTTGGAAGGATTTCTTATTGAAACTTCTTAGCTTGAAGAGCCCCCACGGGGGAAAACCACCCTTAGCCCCTCTCACGGACCGAAATAAACCTGCGGTGTGGGCGGCCACCCCACGCGAAGCGGGGTGAATTACAATATGTCACTATATTGATTTATTTATGTGTTATCTATCCAATGTATTCACTGTATTATTAATTTATTTGTTATTAATTATGTATATTCATATTACTATGTCCCTACTTATTTATTTATTGATTTATTGAGTTACTTAGTTATTTATCTAATTAATTAACATCTATATATATATATGAGGCGTCTCGAAATGTATAGCACAAACAGCCATGTTTCTCGGGAAAGATGACCCCCTGGCACCTGCTCGGTTAGATGACCCGTGTCTCCGACATCCAGACCTTACGTTTCCAGGTGTCCAACTTGTCCATCTGTCCAACTTGTCCATCTTTCGGGGGGTGTTTCTTGCCCCCCAGAGCTCAAGAGTGTCCATTCAACAAACTTTAGCAAGCTATGCAAATGGAGGTTGGTATAACATGGTATAACTAAATAGTAATTGGCATTGTAAACGTCAAGAAAGCCAAACTTTTTAGAAATTATTCGAATTGGATTGAAAAGAAATGGTAAAGCACCTCTGCATGGTTCAATGACTTGTGATTTGGCTGGCGCACTGCCTCAATCCCTGGAGTTTGATATGGGTTCAATCACATGCCAATCGCAATCGCTTGATAATTCAGTTGTCAGGAGCCAGTGTCGTTTTCGGGGCTTGGTCGCGGCCGCCGCTTTCCATAGCAACCGCAAATGGATGCAAATGGGATATCGCATCGACCACAAAAAATGCCGTAATATATTATAATGTATAATGTTATATAAAATCAGAAGAACACGGCCTGAGGACTGGGTCAGGCAATCTCTTGAATTTGACCACCCATTTGGCAGCTACTCTCCAATTTGTTCCATCTGTTGCATCACCACATTGGCATCTACCAAGCTTGGAGCGATCTGGGTGAGAAGGTCCATGCCAAGGCTACCAGCGTCACCCAGAACGCCATGTATTCCAAACAATTCTTCAACTCCAAAGATCTCCAAATGCTGCAATTTTTGCGCGCAGTGGAAGCATGAGTTTTCATTACAGCTCACTATCAGCGGGTCTCCCTTTTAGACCTTTTAGGAGGCGCCTGGAGCAGCTTCAGCTGCGGAGCTTTCCTTCACTTCGCCCTCCTCGAGCTGCTCAGCACTGGGCGCAGCACTGGGCGGCACCTCGAGGGTACCTGGATCGCCTGCAGCTGCATCGCCATCGTTGATGCGTGCGTCGCCTAGGGCCTCCACCACGGTGGGGACGTTGGGCAATGGAGAGCCCTCGAGGCCGCGGGCGTCCAGCAGCTGCAGAAGATACCTGGCCGAAGGAAAGGATAGTGGGGACACCCGGTATCCGCAACGCAACAAAGTGATGATGCTAGAGATCCATTCTCAGAATTCTCAGAAATTCCGATGTCGAGACTGTTGAGTCAATGTCCTTTCATACTTGGTTACATACAACATCATGCAACTATCCATGCCACACCACATTGCTGAGACACTTGTGATCAACGGCATCGTTTCGCAAGAGTTGCAAGGCTCTCCTAGGAGGAGGGTTACAAACCCCGACGCATTTGCTGATCCTCAAGTGTGATCATCTTCGCGATGATTGAAGCAAAACATAAATAATGTTTCCCAAATCACCACCCCAACCATTGCAAGTGGAATGACCAAGCTCAAAGCTGCTCCTACTGTTGAAACAAAATGGCAGAACAAACGCCAGGATGAAACAGTCCTTTTGCAATTATCAACGAAATCAAACTGCGGATTTTGCATTGCCAGCTTGAATTACCACGGAGTTACACATGTGACATGTGTCATTCAAAAAAAAGACAATGTGGCGGTTAAACCACCAAGTTTCTCTTTGGCTTGCAGCTGATTCCTCAGCACTTGCACATCCACCTGTGTTCCCTCAGATGGTCTGAGTTCCACCAGTGGTGGTGCTGCCCTGGGCGCCGGCCGTGGGGTACCCTGGCCCTGGGCGCGGCGCTGGGGAGAACCTTTGAAGACCTCGCTGCAACTGGCTTGACCCATGATGCCATGGCGTGGTGCTGGGCTGCCATATGGGGTAAGGCCGAAGTGAGGGTTGCCTGGGTGATCGGAATGGGGTGATCTTGGAGAATCTTCTACAGGTCGACGCATGTGAATTGCAAACAGCTGTGAAGGTTTGGGGGTCTTGAACATGCTGACCGTCTAGGTGAGGATTATGGCAACTTGGGCCGAGATGTGTTCATCTGGTCCCTCGCGCCAACCTTTCAACAAGAGCAGCCCCTGGAGAGCAGCCTTCGTGTACTCAATTCTGCGAACTCATCATGTATATTCATTTGTATATTTATATATATATACACAAACACACACACACACACACATATATATATATATTTGTTTATTTATTTATTTAATTTACTTATTTCTTTCTTTTATATGTGTATAAATAATTATAGATCGATCACATCAGGTGCGCCCATCTTCACAAACAAGGCATATAAATATCATTAAATATCTCCATGGCTATGTACCTCCAACGGCCACTTGGGGGCCTGACCATCAAAAAGCAAATCCGCCGCCTTGGGCGCCAGGATAAGTAGCTGAAACATGTCGAAATCCACAACCGGATGATATTGGAACGACTTTGATGGGCCGTGTCGGGACACATCCAAGTTGGATGAGCCCTTATACTTACTTGAAAAATCTACTTGGCCACTTGGAAGGAACCATCTCTCCACCAGTACTGGGTTCCCTTGCCGCTTGATCCAACACATCCGCTAACGCCTACAGCTGGCATCGCCGAGACGCATGGTCGAGGGGAACGCACCAGTGATGTTCCCAATAAAAAACAACAAAGCTAAGGCTTCTCCACCCCCATGCATCAGCATCCAGCATTGCCAAAGAGCACAGCCGCAGAGCCTTTCGAAAGGTCGCCTTGGACACTCTACCATTGTTGGATTCCAACCTGGGGTGGGAAGCAGCTGAAGCAGCTGCGGAGAGAAAACCTTCGACCTTGATATACCTTGACATACATTTTCGTTGGGAGGTCAAAGAGAAATCAGGGATTTCCCAACTGCCAGGTTACAATTCGAGCTTACCGAAAGCTAGCGGGGTTCGTAGTTGTTGGCGCCTCCAACCCTGCAGAACCTCCGCCCAATTCGCAGGTTCTTTGTTCTGATGCATCAGGGCCATTCAGGGCCCGCTCTTGTATGGCATCAAGTCTTGGAGGATGTGATTGATATGATATGCTACCCAGGCCTAACCAGGCCTAACCAACATTAACCCACCATGTCAGACCATGTCACCTACCTAGCAGCAAGGACCACTCTTGGCTTCCAGACTGGCTAATGAATTTCACCTGCCATCAGGGTGGACTTCAGGGCCGGGGATTTCCCCAACCAGACAGCTTTGGATCACTGGTTTAGTCGGGAAAATCTACAGGAAACATCAGGAAACCATGGTGTTCCTCAGCAAATATAGAGGTGTCCAGTAAATTGTCCCTTACACCAATCCCATGATTGGAGAGACGCATGGTACAAACACCACACATCGGTTGAACTTAAGCCCGGGCCCAGAATTCCGAAGGCTGGCTGCATCATGCAACAGCGGACCCCACTCCAACTGTCCTGGAAACGACCATCAAAACCATATTATGGGTGACAAATGGTGACAGTGCAGGCCCTAGAATCAACACGTTTCAAGACATGCGGATCTTCAAAAAAATTGCCTTCAGGCCTTGAGATCATTCAGATATCAAAATTTTCTCCGAAAAATGACCCAAAGCCTACTGGAACCCCAATTTCCTGGATTTGGGGTAGCGACATGTGCCACCTAGGCCACCCAGGCCACCCCTCTGCAGCCAAGTGGCGCCCCCACCACTTTTGGCAGCCCAGCGTTTTAGCCGTGCAGCCGCCTGGAAGTGCCAGCGCTGGATGGATCTCTGACCCACTCAACCCCTGATGCTGGAGGCACCCATCCCAAAAAGGCCTAGCAGATGGAATTTGACATCACTGAACCATCCAAAGATCCAAAGTATGGATGGGATATGATGAAATCACATGAAATCGCATGACTCATCGAACTGCCCAACCAGGTTCTACTGGAGACTCCCCCCCAGTCCCAGTTACGCGTGGCACCTCGTGGGCCTCTGGGTGAAACCTCCTCAAGAAGAGATAGCCGCTGCAGTCTGAATCCCAGGCTCTCCAGACCTTGACAAATGGCAGCAGGTCGACCCTCGCCCAGCACCATCCCCAAGGCCCCAAGGCCCATGGCACCTGCGCCATCGAATCTTCTTCTTGAAGCTTTTGGAATCGCATCAGTTGATATTTGAAGCGATTGAATGTGATCCGGAAGCTCCTGGCCGTCGAGTTCTGGGCCCTGAAAACCACCTGGATAAATTCTGCTCGATTCATACCCCTAGATACTGATTGGTTGGGGCCGCGGCCAGAATCCACATCATTCGCAAAAAGAAAGGTAGGTTTCCCCTGTGGTATTATCCTCATCATCGTTTTCTAGCAAAAACATGCGATAACCAAAAAATGGCGACTGCAACAGTTTTTGTTTCTTAGATATCCTCTGGTAATTTAACATAGCTATGGAAAATTGCGTGTTAGTTCGATGATTTGCCTCTCACAAATGCTTGCAACTTCCATAGCTGAACCAATTTCATCTGCGGCCCCCGGCTGATCCGGATCCAAGACTCGAAACCTCAAAGCAGGGTGCCAAAAACTACCGATTGATCCGGACAAATCATCACAACCCCCATTGAAAAACTAAAATAAAAAAGAACAGCAAAATCCCACTAAAACAAATGACGGTTCTATCTTTTTGCTGGCTATCGTATTTTATACTATATCATATTATACAATTTTATCTTGTATTTTATATTATGAACAATATATATATATGTACGATGGACCTTCATGTACTATACTATATCATATTATACAATTTTATCTTGTATTTTATATTATGAACAATATATATATATGTACGATGGACCTTCATGTACTATTTGACCGTTGACTATTTGATTCCATTTCAAATTGAAAGCAATCTCCCAGACGCCAAAAAGAGGTTCAG